ATTTAGGTCGGGTTCGGGTCTAATTTTGGTAGATCGATTTTGGATATTTATTTTTTTAGTTTGGACTCGATTTAAGATTCGGTCAGACCAGTTACTGTCAAATTCGGGTTTGAATATAAATAAAAATATTCATAAAAAATTTTAGATTGAAATATATTAAAAATTTATAATTTTAAAGACGACTTAAATTTAAGTTATTAAAAAAATATTTATGACTGAATAACCCTCAAAAATATTAAATAGTAAGTTTTAACTAATACTCCTGTCCTAAAACTTTCTTCCCACTTCCCCTTTTTCTCCGTCCTAAAACTACCTTCCCATTAGAAAAAAAGATGACAAATGACATTAATACCATCATGTATTTACACCAATTATCTTCTAACTCTATATTTTGAATGATTGCAAAAAATATTACAAAAATCTTTTTTAAGGAGGGTAAAATTTGAAGTCAAAGCCAAAAATTAAAAATGATGAAAAGTCAAACTGGGAAGAAATAATCAGGACGGAAGGAGTAATATACGAAGTACAATGAAAATAACATAGGAGTAACATACAAGATTGGTCCACGATAAAAATAAAACACAAAGAAATGTAATAAATTCTAAAACATTCAAAACAGGTGTACCAAAATAATAATAATAATAATAATCACATTAAAATATATCATTTTAGAGTAAATGTTTGAGGAGTAGAAAGAGCTTGAAGAAATGGGAATAGTTGGAAGAAAGTAGAAGAAATTGGAAGAACTGGAAGAATTGGAAGAAACGAAAAGAAACTAGAAGTTAAGAGTTCAAGCCCTAAAAGAACATGCTCTAAATCTTTATCCAAAAAAGAGATGAAGAACTGTACTACCTTTTTGAATTGGGCAAACAAGACTTTTTTAAATATTTACTGCCTATATAACTTAACTAATTTGTGATAATAAATCTAGAAATCATCCTAAATAAGACTAAAACATAGAGAAAAATATCAAAATAGGACTTTCATGTTTTTTTTCCCGGAATAGGACTTTGCACTGTGGTAATGTGACTGTGCATTGTGGTAATGTGGTAGTGTACATGTGCAAATTGCTATACTTTTTTGGTAATATAAGTCCTATTTTGAGAATAAAAATATGGAAGTCCTATTTTGGTATATTTTCAATGTTTTAGTCCTAATTTGGTCTTTCTCCCTAATAAATCATCTAAAGAAATACTCGCTCCCGTTCTATAAAAGTGTTCTTATTTTGACTTTGTGTAAAAATAAGGAAGTGTTAAATTATAGTTAATTTTTAATTTTGTCTTGATGTGATGGATTGAGTATTAGAGAAAAGTATGATGTGATAGGTAGTGTATGAAAAAATAAAGGTAAAAGTAATTATTTAATAGAAAGTGAAAGTGTTTTGTTGGAAGTAAAAAAATAAAATAGGAAGAGTTTTTTTAGAACGTAGAATATAAATATAAAAAATTAATCCTCCGTAGAAAAATGATACTCCGTAGATGAGTAACCTTTAAGAAGAAGCATTGGGTTGAAGAAGGAGAACCTAATTTGACGGAAATGAGATGGGGGAAACGGAAGGACAAACAGTGCTTAGATAACCCTGGGATTTAATTGCAAAAAAAGATTAATTTGATTATAATTATATGAGGTGGCATATGTGTACACATGTCAATTATTAATTGGCACAAATAGAGAGTGTTTTAAAACGCCCTCTTTAGAAGGTGCACCCAAGGAATCGCCCACTCAGAGATATGCCATATCTCTTCCCTTCCTCCACTCGCATTTATTGCCTGCGAAATACCCCCACCCCCACCCATGTAGGGGAGGTGAAATTGGTGTCCTCCTCAGTCGTCACCCACCACAGTCTCCGATGCCCAACCCCCGGGATTGCAACGGGTCGGGTTCTATGGGATTTGAGTATTTTCAAACTCGACTCGATTTAGGTCGGGTTCGGGTCTAATTTTGGTAGATCGATTTTGGATATTTATTTTTTTAGTTTGGACTCGATTT